CATCAGATCTTTCTTTATGATCCATTGGAAATAGTAACAAGGAAGCCATTGCCACAAGGTGGCCTAAGTTCTGTCAGTTTTGTAAGGGCCAGCACTTTAGACAGTCAACTAGTTTCAAAACTGTATGAGTTTGTGCCAAGCAAAGCTTGGCTTTATCACATTGAAGGGAGATGGTTGTCAAGAGGACAAGTTTTAAAGGTGTTTTTGATCTTCACAATGAAGTCAAATCTCTTCTTAATCAGAAAGCAAAACTGCAGTAGAAGCACTTTTCAGAGATAAAAGTCTATTGCTGAAAAGAGCTTACTTGCTTGGCATCTCTGCCATCCTGCATGAGTTAAATTTATCACTGCCAGAATCAAAGGCAAGTCGCCTCAATTTGACTGAAAAGATTCAATCGTTCCAAATAAGACTTCAGCTTTGAAAAAAAAAAAAAAGAGGATGAAAATAAATCTTGCATGTTGCCTCCCTCATCTGGTTCTTTATGAGGAATATGACACTGACCAGACAAAAGGATTATGATGTCTTCAGTGAAAGAATACTACATGCTTGCAGGCAAAATTTCATGGAGCTCTCCAAATCTACCTGACATCCCATTTGCATTTGCCAGGAACCCATTGACAGTCAAAGTTGAAGATGTTCCTGAGTCAGCACAAGAGTTCATTGAACTTATTAACAATGTTGCAGTAAGAGCTGAATTCTCTACAATGTCAACTACAAAAGTCTGAATCAAGCTTTTGCAGTCACACCTGTCTGAGACTGTGTTGTATTTTCTTGTTCCATTTTCAACAACACATCTTGGTGAAACAGGGTGTCCACCTTGCTGATTATCAAATGTACATGCAGAAGTAGACTTGTGGAAGATGGTCTTCATTGTGCTCTTTCAAATGCTGACCTGAGAATTTCTGATGTGTTAGGAAAGAAGCAGTCTCAACCTTTGTAGTGATTTTAGCATTTCACACAAACTGCTGTGAAATCTCACCATGTAGCTTACTGCAGTTATATTAAGAGTGTTACCCACGCTACACCATACTTCAAGCCAAAATTTTATTTATTTGTAATTAACAAGAAATGTTTTAAATATATAATTACATATTGTCTTGCAATTAATCACTGTGCTTTAATTATGTTCAATTTGTAACAATGAAATATCATTGCATATCAGATACTTGCATTCCAGTTCTTAATGTAGCAAAATTAAAGTTATTAAGTCGCAACAAAAATAATCTTATCGGCATCACCACAACATGAGGAGCTGGATTAAGTGATTGTAGCATTAGGAAGACTGAGAAACCACTGAATTAAAGAATCCTGGAATCAACCTCATGGGTACCCCTGGATGTTTGGAAAGTTACATTCAGAGCCACTCAGGGAGGACTAGTACAATGCCTCTTACAATACATACAACTGATTGTGCAACTTTCTTTCCAGTGCTTTCTCAGGTGAATGTGGAAAATATTCAGCATTTTGGGTGATCACAAGCCTCAAGCTACTTTTACTCTAACAGATGTCAAACCCTTAAGGACTGTCAGCACTGGCCACACTTTTCAAAAGCTAGTCAGGAGAAGAGTGGAAGGACTCATCCGCAGTTGATGGCTGTAATCAGGTCTTTGTGGCATATCAAAGCCCAATTACTTCTACTGTACCCTTCTGATGAAGTGCAACTTCAGTCAATGTAACAGAATCAAAGATTTCAGAACTATAGAAAGTTGGGAGTGAAATTAACTCCTTTCTCTGTGGTTCTTTTATGCGTGTGAAAATGTTTATGTAAAATTGCACTATTTTAATTAAATGAGTAGATTTTGAATAAAAGGATTAAAATAGCTTGCAAATCCTGGAAGAAATGATTCAGGCTTTAAGCAGAAGCAAGCAGGTAGTGGGCTTGATTATTGCTGGTATAACAGTTTTAATTACATTAATTGCTAGCACTACTGCTTCTGCAATTGCTTTGACACAAGAAGTTAAGACAGCTACTTTTGTTAATCATTTAGCAAAAAATGTGCCCAATGTGCTGAATATACAAAAAGATTTAGATAGGCATTTGGAAGAATGGATTGATGCTCTTTATCCTATTCAAATTACTGGAAGGAGGTTCAGAATTTAAGAGTATAGAGCCATCTTGGGTGTCATGCCAAATATTATTGGATTTGTGATAGTTCTAAAATTTACAGTGATAGTCATTATAACTAGGAAAAACTTTAAAGACACTTGAAGTTTATTTGGCATAAATCTAATATTCTCTGGATGTTTTAACTTTACATAGTGAGCTTATGAATTTCAAGAATGCTGTTCTGCTGAATGTTGATGTGGCAGATAATACTGATAAAATTACTCATGGCCTGAGGTCAGTATTTCTATTTTGGTCAAGTTTCAAGAATGGCATATATAGCTTGATCATGCTTGCCCTTTTTTGTCCTGGGAATGCTTTTATTCTTGCCCATCATGTTAAAGCTTGTCTTTAACAACATCAACAAGTTGGCAGCTGAAGTGCATGGCTTGAACCTGAAAATGGACCCCCAGACAGAGTTATTAAATTAACAGGCTGGCAAGCCAAGGACTGGTAATACTCTTCACAGAGCCTTACCAACCTAAGACAGAACTGCATTGCTTTGGATAATGCATATTCCATGAGGGGTAAGGAAGGCATTCTTGCCAGGATGACCCAAGACAGGCTCAGTCTTATTAATGAAATAAAAAAGGGGAGATGTGGAGAGCTTTTGGGGCTGCTTGGCAAGAATCTGACATGGGCCAAGATCAAGGAAATGGGCTGCTTGGCAGAAATCTGACATTAGGCTAGAATTAAGAAGTAATTTCAGGCAGGAATCTAAATCTTAGGCTAGGACAAAAAAGTAATTTTAGACAGGAATCTAAATTTTAGGCTAGAACAAGGAAGTAGACTTCAGACATGAAAATGTCTTTGGGCTAGGACAGGGAAGTTGGCTCAGATATTTTGGTCATCCTGATAAGCCCTTAGAAAAAATGATCACGGTAGTGTTCATGGATTTTTTTTTTAATTTTTTTTTTTGACTATTTGTGTTTATTGTCTTGCTTGTTCCTAGACTATTTGCATCTATTGTATTTCTGGTCCCTCAACCTAGAACTGACCTTAATACTTATATGTAGTTAAAACATTATAAAACCAAAAGAATGAGGGGGGATGGGATAGGAAGTTCTAGGGAGGGGAAATGGGGAAAGGGGATGGCATCTGAAATGTAAATAAATAAAATATCTAAAAAAGTACCAATAAAATAAATCTACCAATAAAAAAAGCATTTCTTAAAATGAATAAATAATCCACCCCAGGAAATGAAAACCAATTTTATTTTTTTTAAAATATTTCTTTGCTTCGCAAAAATATGAAGTTGGTAGACTATGATTATGAAACAAATGTGTTAGAGAATATTAAGGTATAATAAAAATTATACAGCTGAAGATGTAGCTTAGTTGTAGAATGCTTACCTAGCCTGTAAAAGGTTGGAGATCCAAGCCCTAGTATCAAAGAGAAGTTATAAAGCATGACCATTTTATTTTTCTGGGTATTTTAACATTATTAAAAACATGTTTTAGATGTAACAGAATATGCTTATATAAATAATAAATTTACTTTTCTTATTTATAAAAATTTTAACAGAAGATGTGAATATGACAGAACTTTTATTCTTACTTCTTGTATTATTTTTTCATATATATATATATATATATATATATATATACATACTTGTAAAAATATCCAATTATTTTGGAATAATTTTAGACTCAAAGAATAGTTAAAAAGTTATACAGATGATTTCCATATTTATTAAAACAGTTTTTCTCCTAATTCTGACATATGTTCTACTGAGGAAACAAACCACCAATAGGACCAGCATTACTATTGTAATCTATACTTGCCCATACACACTTAAGTACATATCTCATAATTGTTAATATAAGCATTTCTAGAAGAAAATATTTGTTTTAAAAGCAATTAAATAATAATATATAAAAATGTTTTATAAATATCCTATTGGAATTTAAAGATTTTTCTACACTAATCAACAAATGTGAAATATAAGGAACAACTCAATGATCAATTAACTCAGAAATTGCAAAGCATTCAGTTAACACACACAGGAACTCATGGAGTTCTTCGTCAAGCTACCTGAGGCAAGTGTCATAGGTTTTTCAGGTTAGCTCCTGGGGCACTGTGTACCTTTCTGTTCCCAGAAAACTGAGGTACTCCCTCGGGCAATTAAGCATTCTGGCCTCCTGTGTATCTCTGAATTCCATAGAAGTCATCAAAGTATATAGAAGTTTGGCAGAGCAATTGCTTTTAATACACTTGTCTCAGGCCAGTCTTGCAGAGACCCCTCCAATCTGGCCTGGTTTTCATTTCCACTAACCATATCAGAAACAAGGATATGTTAGTGCCTTTAGGTGGTGCCTTGAACAGGGGCCTCAAATATGAGGATCTAAGAAAAAAAAAACCATTAAGGTAAAGGACTCCTGGTTGTGGCATACACACTAATATAATAAGGCAGGAGGTTAATTAATTGGAGGTAAATATGGGACCAGCAGGGACAAGGAAGTGGCATTTGTTTGAAGAAGTTCTGCACACTTTGTTGCTGGTGGAAAGACTTAAAGCACCATCAGTTGATAAAACCCCTGGAGTTCATTAGCAAACTTCAGCCTTCTTTTCCTGAAGAGGTATCTCTGGATCCGGAACATTGGTCTTGATTAGAAAGAGTAACTCAGGGAGAATTAGATGCAACAGGACCGGAGCAAGTTCCTAGTGATGCTTTTCAGCTTTTGAAAATAAATAAAAACACTAACTAATAAAAGTCACATTAGGAGGTCATGCCTCATAGGAGAATCAACCCCTTTTAAACCATGATATAGATCTCTGATCCAAGAGCCTATGAATCAAGGCTGAGAGACGGGCATGAAAGGATTCTCCATTTTCCTGGTGTGTGAAATGCCCAATTCTGATAACCTGGAGCAATAAGTTAGAAATTATATACTCCCCTGTACTTAGAGGCATCACAGGTGTGGCTTTTGTGTCACATCCAAGTCAGTAAGTGGAAGAAAGGAGAGAGGCTAAGTCTACACCCAATTTCTAACCTGTGAACATCTGAATGATTAGTAGCCAACATTCCATGAAAAAATGTGAGCCTGAAATGACCACCAGTTCATTTCACCAAGCCAGGGAGCCTGGACAGGGAGCTAGCATAAGACAACCACATGCCAAGCAAGCCTGGACAGGCTTCCAAAGCAGGGAGAGGAATGGAGATAAGAGGAACCCACCTAAGGGCTCACATCTCAGGGGAGCAAGCCTGAGACTAGAAGAATCCCACCAGGGACCACAAGGTAGAGGCAGGAGTGTACCAAAGACATATGATCCCTGCGTGGTGCCATGCGGTGGTCCAGAGAAAGGAAGGAGCCCAAGATGCCCATCAGTCCAGTGCCATGGGGTCCAGACAGGGAGCCATAATAGGATGATCACCAGTTCTGTGCTTCAAGGGCATGGAGGATGGTGTGGCAGATCATGCCTGAGATGACCCTTATCCAGTGCCTGAAACCACTTCTGAGATGATCTCAGACACTCATAGACCCAGGGTGTCACTAAGAGGGGCAAGGAAGTGGTGGAGAAATGGAAGAGAAAGAGAAACAAAAGAATGAGAGGACAATGAAGAGAAGTAGAATTGGAGGCTTGAGGGTACTGAGGAACAGCCTAATGTGAGCAGTTATGCCATCTGAGACCATGGTGGATGACAGGTCTGGGGCCATGTCTGGGTCTGTGACCCTGCAACAGTAGGGGTCTGTTACCACCAAAGGGCAGGCAGAGTTGCCTGATTGAGGCTTCTACCCAGGGACATGTTGATTTCTAAGGGCTATGCAGAACTGGCCCCACTTCTCAGCTGGGCATCACGGGTAAGCTGACACAAATGAGAGAGAGATTCTATCCTCCCCTCTCATCCCTTACCGCCTGTATCAGACAGGAGACTTGGCCCTGTAGTCATGAGTACAGTAGAGCTTGCCCTGCCCTTCAACAGCTGCAGCAGCACTCAGGAGAGACAGCCATGGTGTGGGGGGGGGGAGCACAGGCAAGCCAGAGCCAAGGCTGTGAGTATGGGAGACCTGGCCCCACCATTTGTCTGCCCTATGGGTAAAGCAGAGATGCTCCCCTCACCCCTTTCACTTATGATGGGCAGGAGAGATGGCCTTGAGGGTGTAAAAGAGTAAAAGAGATGCCCCCGCTCTTCACCTACTGTAACACTCAGGAGAGCAGACCCTGCACTTTGCCTGGGCACATAATAGAGCTGGCTCCGGATATGAAGGTTCCTGTTGAGCTGTCCCCCTCACTCCCAGAGCATGATCATGGGAAAGCTAGCCCTGCCTCTCAGTTGCCATGTGGTGGCATCAGCAAAGGAGAGATCCCCTCCCTTCCCTTTGATCTTTCCCTCCTATGGTAGGTAGAAGAGCTGGCCCCAGGATTATGAGAGTGAGAGAACAGACCTTGTCCCTTACCAGCTGCAAAACTCCAGGGAGTGGGCCCTGCACCTCACCTGGGCAGAACACTAAATCTGGTTCTGATGGTGTAGGGATGGATTAACCAGTCCTAAGGGCATGAGAACAGAAAATCTGTCTCTACCCCTTGCTGGCTATGGCATTGGAAGAGTCAGCCTGGGCAAGGCAGATTTCACCTGTGTAATGAGTGTGGCAGAGCTGGCAGACTGACCAACTCAGATACCTCAGCCCCAGATCCAGGACTGTGAGTTGGCCCACCTAAACTCTACCCCATCAATCAGTGAACTTCTTGAGTGTGTGAAGCAGCCTGTCCTACAAATCCAAAACTACAGGATCTCCATGACACAGGGCATCAGTAGGAAATTGGAGAGGAGTCCCAGTGAGGTTCCAGTGTTGATGGTGTAGCAGAAGCCAGTAGCTTCAAACCAGATCAATGACTTCTTGTAATGAACATTTGCAAACAAAGAAGTGTAGACAAAAGGGTTTACTCTAGGATACACTAACACACTACTGCTTTCGCAGATGATTTTTTTTTCTATTGCAGGGAGGGTGCAAAAATAGATGACAGGTATGACAGGAGGGAGAGAGGTAAGTGGGATTGGGGTTCATAGTGTGCAATTCACAAAGAATCAATAAGAACTTGGTTTTTTTTTAAAAGAAAGTATATACTCATTTCATTTAAGACTCTTAAAGATATTAAGCAGGCTTGTGCTTAATGAGTCCACTACTTCTTTTATACCATCTTTCCTTGATTCTGCCCCTGAAAATATTTTTGTTCCCTCTGATTCGAAGATCTTAGCCAATGCTTGTTTAACTGGGGGGTCGGGAGAGGGTGAATATTTACTGTGGAAGACTGGATTTACCTATATATCTTTTTCAAATTAATTATTGTTTTCCATGCAGTAAACATTGATTTTTGCATAAAAAGATGCTACTTTGTTTCCTGAAAGCCCACCAAGCTTGACAACCTCTGCACAAGTAGTATTTGTAGACACCACAGAAGATGGTACTGTGCTCTGGTTTCTGATGACGCTTCACAGATATTCACTTCCCTAGGTGCTTTTGTACAACAGATAGAGCTATATATGATTTACATTACTATTCTCCACCTTGAAATGTATATTCTGAGTCACAGTACACAGTCTTTGAAGTGCAACCTCTAGAAACAACACAGATCACCTCACCAGTCACCTCTATTCAAAATTTATTGCAATAAATTTAACAGAAATTGTAGACGTAGGAAAATCCAGTTTATTCTGGTCCTATTAGGTCAAATTCTAATATTCTAGAACCTTGTCTGAGGGAAATCCAAAGGCCCATTCTTTTTTAGCACTGTTTCTTTTCTTAGCAATTAACAGTCTAAAGGACATATGACAATCTTATGTAAATTTCTTCAAAATGCTTCAGCAATGAAAAACAAAAAACAACAACAAAAAACACTTTTCACTAACTAAGGAACAGGCTTGTTTGGTAGTTAAGGAATGCCATCTATGCATAAAAATTAATATCATTCTTCTTCCCTCTTACACTGTTTAACTGCCCAAGGATTATTGCCAAATTATATTGGCACATGATTGCTACTAATGTTGCCAATTTTGGGAAGTTATAATATATTCGTGTCATTGTGGATATCTATTCATTGCTCATTTTCACTGTTCTCCTGATAGGAAGGACATGTTATCATCTTTTTACTCTAAGGTGTTATCACTTTTTTACTCTAAGCTTTTGCTATGTTAGGCCTTTGTTAAGTATTAAAAACTGGCACTGCAACTACACATACTGCCAAGGCTTTTAGGAATTTTACTAACAAAATGTTGTAAACCACACGACAGGAATTCCACAGACTCCTCAGGGCCAATCTTCCATGAAAAGAGCTAATCTGCAACTTAACATTATTTTAAAATAAGGGAAGGGAGAAGGGTATGGCAATTCCTCACAATAGCTTGTCTTCTGTTGAAATAATTATTTAAAAAATGGCCACTGGTTCAACCAACTATCTAAGCTGCAGCGGCTCTGCCTAGCCCAGCCACCATGTTTCTCAGCCAGAGGCCACGTTCGTGCTACAGCTAGAAATGGCCAACTAGAAACACCAGTCCTGCCACCCACGAGATGCCAGCGTGCGAGATGGCTCTGCCAATCTTTCACGCTGTCTCCACAAGGCTGAACATTGCCTATACCATCCCACCATCCATGTGGGTCCAGTAGAAAGATGAGACTCTAATGGTTAAAGATTAATCAAAGGCTTATATCTTTGGTAATGATCAGTAACAAGATACCCATAGAATCAGAAGTGTAACCCAATACCCAACCTAGATATACCAACTACCTTTGACTGCTACAGACACATGAACATCCGCCTCCATCTCCTCTTTGTCTCTCTCTCCTCCTAGCTCCTCCTCTTCCTTTTCCTCTTCCTCTCCTAGCTCCTCCTCTTCCTTCTCCTCTTCCTCTCCTAACTCCTCCCACCTTAGCTCCTCCTACAGTCTTCTATTTATATTTTAAATTTTTAAATTTGGGTAAGAATGGTCTTACTGATACCCAATATTTTTGGGCCCCTCCAAAACAATTCAAGGTCATGGAGAGATGTTGCCTGGCCAGTGGAATGGCCAGGATCCCATAATTCACTGGAGCCAAGGTTGTGTTTGAGTTCTATCCACAGGGTGCTGAGAAACGGTTGTGGATACCCAAAGGACTGATCAGACCCAAGAAAGACAAAGGACTGATCAAACTGAATTATGTTTGAGATGGACAAAGAGCTTCCAAAGAGTCTGCAGAGGCTTTGCAGGAAGGAAAAGAAGATAGCGTGGGTGTTAGAATCATCAAGCCAAGAATACAGTCTGTATCCCAACAATGACTCAAAGCAACTAGTGATAGAGGGAACAAAGTTGGTGAACTCTCAAAAAAAAAAAGGGTGTAACTGTAGAATTTCTGTTTCATGCTATATTGTCTCTGGTGAATGTGTCTGTTACTGCTGAAACAGATTAGGCTTATGGTCCTGATCCTCCTGCATTTCACTGTTAGCTGGGAAGAGAGTAACATTATTATCTATGTTAATACTTCTAAGATCTTGGGTGCCTCCAATGCTGAACAAACTGTTTTCCAGGCCTTGCAAGGAAATTTGAGTATTGCTGTTCAGGCCTTGCATAATAAAATTATGTAAATACAAATAAACATATAAATTTATACATATGGATAAAAATATAAATTCAAAGATACATGAATTATCCTCCTCTGATCCTATGAAAATTCTAGCAAATTTTTTGGTCTTTATTTTTTGTATCTAATTGGACTTCTAAACTGTAGTCCATAGGAGTGCCTCTGAAAATTTTGTTATTGGTTGTATTAGGAACCATTATTGCCTAGAGATTGATTTCCTACTTCATATTTGTTTTGACAAATGACTTCCATGCCTTGAAATTTAAAAAATACAAAAAACAAAACAAAAACAAAAACAAAAACAAAAACAAAACAAAACAAAAAACCAGGGAACAGCAAGGAATCATATAGATGGCCTGGTCCAGCTGCCTTGAGAGGCATGTGTCGTAGGTTTCTCAGGTTAGAGCTCAGGGCTTCTGGGCACTGTATACCTTTCAGTTCCTGAGAAACTGAGGCACTCTCTCAGGCAATGAAGCACTCCAAGTCTACCTCCCCAACCCCATATATCTCTGCATTCCCTAGAAATTAGCAAAGTATACAGATCTTTGGCAGAACAATTAATTTTAGATATTAATATTGTGTACCCAAATAGCTTGCAAACATTATTGTATCTGGGCAACTATAATTGTATTCTTACTGGAAATTACTATTGTGTTCAGTTTCTGACAAGAATATAAAAAGTGTGATCGCTTTTGAAAAATTTGCCTCCACCTCAGTCTTGCTGAGACCCCTCCAACCTGGTCTGGTTTTCATTCCCATCAACCATGTCAGGAGATCCTGCTTCAGTAACTCAGTCCTGGCATTTACAAACAGCACTTCTGCAACGTAAATAAAAGTCACCCTAAAACAAAATGGTGTTCCTGTGGTAATAAATGAATAAATAAACAGACAAACAAACGTGACAGGATCGAAAGAACACATTCTCTGAAGGTTCATTTATTAGGATGCAAGCAGGAAATGTGTATAGACTGATTTTGTGATGTCTGATTTTTCATCTCATAATATGGGGTTTTGTGTTTGTTTGTTTGTTTGTTTGTTTTGTACTATAAGATGTTCTCGTTAAATGAGAGACACAGACTTTAGGGGGAGCAGAATCTTCCGCAAAATAGAATGCTTTTGGTTCTGTTGTGCCTGATGAAAAATAGAAATGGATGATCCACATTTAATTCAATGGAAGGTGCCTTAATTCGAACACTGACTTCACTTCCAGTGCCAGCTGCAGCCTCGGTGCCTTCTTCATTTATTTCCAGAAAAGTCTTATGGAAAACATTGGATAAAAATAGGTTTCTCTCTGAAGACATGTTTGAGAAATCAGCTTCACTCTGGCTAAAAGCATCGGTCATCCCCATACCTCTCAGGGCTGACTTGAGGTCGTAACTCTCCTCCATCTTGAACTTGGGGAGGTACAGCTGCACTTCATATGTATCCATCATGTCTGGACTGGTCCACTTATCCAGTTTCTCATAAGTGATGGCTCTCTCCAGCTGCAGGATCGGAACCCAGAAAGAGTCAGTAAATCACAGAAAAAAATAGGTCACAAAGGAAAGTACCATCACTCCCTCTGCCTAGGGCAGCAAAAAACACATTTGGGACTCCACTGGTTAAGTGTTGAGAACTTGCTACTGTTCAACTACTGAGTTTCTGTTTTGGAGACAGGTCCTAGGAAATAGAAGAATTAGACTTTCCTTTGAAAGGGAAATACTTCTACCACAGTGTGCAAGGTGTCAACAATAATAAGATATCCTTATATAATCAAGCACTTGGATTTTTTTTGCACAAAGCATATACTGTAGTGTAAGTTATATGTTAAGACATTTATGAGACTTTACTGACGAAGTGACTAGATTAGAAGCTACTAACACATTAGTTAACCGTACTTCTGACTGTGGCAGTGAGAGATTTTCTTTAGAAAGTTAGATCATGAGAACTCTAACGTCATAAACACGTTAATCTGTGGTGAATAACTCTGCATAGACTCTTGAGAGGTGACAGAACTGTGGAAGGCGGTAGCTGGCTGGAGGAGAGAAGTATGACCTTGGTACCTGGCTGGAGGAGGGAAGTATTACCTTGATGGCTGTATCTTTCTCTGGTCCCTTCTAGTTACTGTGTCTTGCCCACTATGATGAAGCTACTCTGCCAGCATGGACTGAAATCAAGACCAAAATCAACATCTTCTCCCATAAGAGATATATTTTAGAAGTAAATTTCAGTGACACGGGGCACAAACTGCTCATTTTCTCAACACTGGAAGCAGTTCATTGAAAACAAAATTTCAGAGAAAATAAAATGCCTTTATTTTATAATAACAATATTATACATTTGTCAAGAAATAATGAAAAGGGCGGAAAAAACTCCAAATCTCATGAGTACATTTATTTTGGGCATAAGATACTTCAACTCCCCTTTATAACTTGAAACTTCCAAGAATAATATATGAATGTGTATATAGGTCCATTTCTATATGTATATAGTTTTGACATTTTATTAATATTTTTGCACCAAAGCATATACTTTTGTTCATTTGAGAGTTTTATAAACCCAAGTATTGGCTGTTAGTGACATATTTGTGAATGGTATACATTAATAATGTTACAATATCTTGATCTCAGGATCCTGAATTCTTAAGAAGCAGTCTGTTATGACTGTTATGGTTATCAGTCTACACAGATCGTGCCATTAGCATCCTCTCTAGTTTCACACATTTTGAAGAACAATATAAAAATCTTTTATGTATACTAGCAGAGCCATGGAAACTTACCAACATTAAGAGCATGGTACATATGGAAAATCAGAGAATAGGCAAAGAAAGACTGGATATCTATTGCAAGAGAGGCTAATGTTCCATTTAGACATATGTTTGCTTAGACACAAGGTAGATCAGGCTTAATAGAATAAACAGTCTAAATGGAGACGGTACAGGAAGAGGTTCTTTTCTCCTGAAGATTGTCTATTTGATTAAAATAATGTTTTTAAAAAGTTGTATAACACACCATATGTATAATTATGTAAGTACTCATATATAAATACAAATAATTAAAAAGGTTAATTTGAAGACTGGAGATATGCCCAGTAGTTCAGAGTACTAGCTGCTCTTCTAAAGGATCCAGATTCTTATTCTGGCATCTCCACCGTGGTTTACAGCTGTCTATATATCTCCAGTTCCAAGACACCCAATGTGCTGTTTTAATCACCACAGACACTACACACACATAGTGTTTAGACATACATGCAGACAAAATACTCATACACATAAAATAATAAAATAAAATAAGATAAAATAAAATGAAAGAGATTCATTCAGATCTGAGAACTAGTTCTACCCTAGAAAGCCTGCTTAATACACAAGAGCCCTGTGTGATCTAAGGCAGCAGAAAGGAAGTTAATCATCCACAAAAGTTTTTGTATATATTCATCTGAAGAGGGTCTGCAAGTGACTTCTATAAATAGATGTAGTCCTGACCTCTGACACAAACAAGGGTTATTGAACATGAAAGCCTTTTATGCCTTTAGTACAGCCTCCGGGTTCCCATGAGTTATTTCTTCTGTAGGTAAACACCTGATTTCCACAAGCAGTTACCATCCAAGTTACCCTTGCACCTCAACCACATCATCCAGACCAGTTCCAGAGCTTTCTACCATACCACTGCCAGAACTAGGGTCCTTAATCTAGTTACAAGGTGCTTGGTTCTGCTTAGCAATGAAGCATCAAGGTTCCAAAGGCTGTATATGGTCTAGATTACTAGATTACTTTCATCTGCTGACACACCAAATGACACATTATGAAGAAATTGTCATCAATCTATAATAAAGTGATATAAAATTTAAAAATCATGTGACTGTATTTATTTGACCTATCTATTCTTATGCCTCATTCTTAAAATCTAATTATTGTTTACAAACAGAACCATGAGAATAATAGCATTGTAGTTTGTTTAATATAATAAGAAGTTAGCCCCCAACCTCGCAAGGGACAGAAAATACCATCTCGTTGACTGTACTGTTCTTATGTGAGTGAGGACAGAGTAAACGTCAAGTCCTTTTGTTTTCCTAGCTTGATGCCTGGTTTGGTGACCAAAGCTGTCTTATGCTTAGGACTCATAAAAATTAAATTAAATCCAGTTAGCACAGTGTGGTAGGAGGAAGACAGAGACCTGCAGACTTCCATACCACCCACAGACCTGCCCTCCAGCACAAGTCATAGGCAGGCCACTAGCACAGCTTGTTACCACACCTCCTTGCATAGATGAAGAATGTCACCCAGGGGCCTGCCAACAGCTGACACCATCTCTCACCAGTAGCATCACTCAGGAGAGGAGGCCCTGAGCCTCACCCAAACAGCACAGTGGAATAGAAAACCAAGAATGAGGAGCCAAAATTAGTGATGTCACACAAGCCAGAGGTCTTGACCCAGACCAGTGACTTATTGCAATGAACATTAGCAAGTGAAGATATGTGGACAGAGGGATATACAGTGGGACACACTGTGACTCACTGAAGCTTCCACAATGATATTTTTCTCTTTTTTGTTTTCTTTCTGTTTGTTTGTGTTTTGTTTCTCTCTCTCTCTCTCTCTCTCTCTCTCTCTCTCTCTGTGTGTGTGTGTGTGTGTGTGTGTGTGTGTGTGTGTGTGTGTGTTTTATTTTGGGGGGAGGTTACAAAGGCAGATATGAAGGGAGAGAGAAATTAGTAGAACTGTGGTACATAATATAAAACTCACAAAGGATCAATAAAAAGGTTTTTAAAAAGTTAACAATTCTAATTAAAAGTTAATCTTGAAATAGGTAGTTTCTACTAATCTGAGAAGAGCCAAGGCAGCTCAATGTGTGATCACAATTCATAATAAAAGCTTCCATATATGTGTACAAGTGGCTATATATGTACCCACCTGTGCTAGAGCCATCTATAGTTACCTAACCTTTCTAAAAACAAGTAGTAATATTAATTTTATAGAATTTCATAAAGTATGAGCAATATTAGAAGACAAAGTAGCCAGGACCCAAAGTATATCAGGCCCAAAGGATGCCTTCCCATGCAGAAATTTAATGGCAGGAAGGACAAGTCCTCATGCTTTTCTCTCTAAAGCATAATGGCAAACACAGAATCTATTTTATATCAGACAGACTAATGTATCTACCTTTTGCAGGCCATCCATTTCTTCTGGCAGCAGTAGAAGCAAGCTGAGTTCACGGTTCTGATAGTTGAGTTGAAGGCCTATGGTTTGCAGCTCCTCAATGTGGAAGACTTGAAGACTCTGTTTCATTGACATCATTTGCATGGGTTTGCTTGTGGTCTGTAAAAAGGAATAATAAAGTCACAGATTCTTCATCTGGACACCATTGGTTTCCCTTCATCTTGCACTTTAGCAAAACTAGCTGTCTTCCAATAAGCACTAAAGGATTTCCCAATGTAGCCTCTGGAAATTTCTACTCACAACATCAGTGGAAGGAAAACAAAAGCGTTCTTGTCTGGAACATCTACTAGGCAATGTGTTTATATCACAGCAAGTGGATTCTACTAAAAGTCGATTAATGGGAGCAATGTGTGAAAACCATAAAAGTGCTAATGACCCCCAGAAACTGTGGGTCATTTTACACACAAACATTTGAGAATCCTAGGAAGTATTTTCAGTATCAATTGTAAAAACTGAAGTACATTAAAAAAATTAAAAGCAAGAAATAGATTAGGAAGAAATACTTGTAAAATGTTGTCAGACAAATGATGTCTGTTATGCATTCAAGTACCTACAGAGACCCTAAGAGGCATCAGATCCCCCAAAGTTGGAGTTACAAATCGTTTTGAGTTTCCCTACATGGGTGTTAGGAATCCAAACCTAGCAAGAGATCTTAACTGTTAAGTATCTCTCCAGACCAATACGAAGTATTTTCAACAAAATCAACTAAAAATGAAGCCACAAAAAACTTTCTGCAATCAAATGTCATAGATATATTATTGTCAAATTGTATCTGGAGCTGAAGTTAATCAGAAGATTTCATCCATAAGCTGATGAAGCCTTCTAATCAGACTATTGACTGGGACAAAGTGATGGTTCCCAGGGTGTCCAGACAACGGCACCAACTAGAGTCCTCTTCAGATCTCACTGTTAAAACCAATAACTATGTCAGCTAGTTTTGAGGTCCTATAAGATTCTCTCTCTAGGAATTAGAACTTGGACTTATCAACATGTTTTCCAAAGGAGAAGAGTTATTGTGGGTAGCTATGTTTGGCCATTGTGACTTGGGAAAAAAACAACCTAGATTTCATCCAGAGAGAAAAATGATAGAAGAGATTCAGTGAGGGGAAATGAAACAAAAATCCTGACATTTTGCTTTGGCCACATTCTAGCCTGCAGTGTTTTGGGTCATAAATCCGAAAGGACATGTATTTCCATTTTCATGTCTCAGTTGCCAGCTGGTGATGCTGCATGGATGCTGGGAGGAGTTGGGACTTAGTGAGGAAACTGGATCACTGGAATCTTGACTCTAGACTGTTGGTCTGTCTGTCCCACCCCCCACCTCCATTGTAGTTTGAATATGCTTGGCTCATGGAAAGTGTTACTGTTTCGAGGTGTGGCCTTGTTGGAATAGGTGTGGGCTTGTTAGAAGTATGTCACTGTGTAAGCAGGCTTTGAGGACTCCTAGTGCTCAAGCTCCACCCAGCAAGGAAAAGACCCTCCTCCTGGTTGCTTTTGGAAGAGGCAGTCTCTCTCCTTGTTGCCTTCAGATCAAGATGTAGTGCTCTCAGAAATTCTATCACCATGTCTGGCTGCATGCTGCCATGCTTCCTGCCATGATGATAATGGCCTGAACTTCTGAAACTATAAGCTAGCCCCAGTGAAATGTTGTCCTTTATTATAAGAGTTGCCTTGGTCATGGTGTCTCTTTTATAGTGACGGGAACCCTAACTAAGACACCCCTCTCTCTCTCTATCTTCCTTCCCCTCTTTCTCTCTCTGTGTCTCTCTACCTCATCCCTACCATAAAGTCAGTAATATTGCTTTGTGATTGACTTTCTATATTGATGTTCTACTGGGACAGGTGACCATGGGCTAAAGTTCTAAAATCATGAGCTACCATCTTTCCTTCTTTCAAGTTCTTTACCTGAGGTATTTTGTCTTGGTGATGGCAAGCTGAGAGCCCTTGGAATCTCTTTGATATATCTCTAACTTTGTATCAACACACCCTCCCCCTCACACACATAACACTTTGCTAAAATTATATTCCTAGAAACAGTAGAACTTTTAGTACAGTCATCTTTGGTTCTGGAAGTTTAACTCAGACATACCTTCACTTCTTTAGGTACCTCTATTTCTCAACTGGGAAATAACTATAAAACCCACCCCACCCAGCTCCCTCCTGCTCAGCAGCGTGACCTGATAAATGATGCAAATAAACTGTATTCAAAGAAAAACAAGGAAATAGCAAGTTTTAGGTCAAGGAGAACAGAGAGCTCTGACCGCAGCCTTTCCTTCCTCAATTAGGGCTAGGATTCAGAAAGATATTAGAAAAGAGAATAGATTTAACATAGAATATGTTATTTTTGCAAAATCATGTGAAAATTCAAAGTGCCTTTTAGCCAACTCGTACCTTGTTTATTCTGAAAGGCCTTTCAGTGGTGTTCTCCACTGAGAACTGATGCTCCCAGGTTCCTTTAAAATAAAGGGCGTTCACCAGAACCATCTTAGTATTGCTGCCTACTGAGTCATCTGGGAGGAGGTTTGGAATCTTACCTACAAGAGCAGGACAGATCTCAGAATGGCTATTGGAATATGTATGATTAATTAGGTTTACTTTAGATTAGATTAATTAGATAACCAGATTTTAATTTTTTTCTGGAAACATTTTCTTTTCAAATTTTCTTTTTAGATATTCCACGAATAGAACAACTTATGATAGTTAAGTAGTACGAAGCGGTAAATTGTTAATCCACTCCGAACTTCCATAGGCTTCTTGCTACCGCCCACCAACGTGCTCTGGATTCCTAAATGAAACACACACACAAACACACACACACACACACCCCACTTACACGCACACACAGGTACACACACACACACACACACACACACACACACACACACACACACGGCCTTTTGTTTAATAACCCCTAACCAGCTCAAGGGCTGGGCTACTTTTGCTACCCAGACCCAATCCAGGAAGTGCCCCCAAGGCCTCTTCCCCACCTTATTTGGCTGGATGCCTTCTCTCCTGCTCTCTCTGTTTCCCATCATGGCTGTTCTATAAACTCCTTTTCTCTCCCACTCCCTCACCCAGGAAATGAAAATCCTGCCTCTGTCTCTTTGCCCACCCATTGGCAGCAGGCAACTTTATTTCACCAATCAAGGCAAACAGGTTTAGGAATCCCCAGTATCTTTCAGGCAGGCATGCTGGTTCTTATGTAATTTTGGGAGCCAAATTAACATAAACAGCATTAGAACCAATCCACAACAGCAGCACACTTTTTCTCAATAGCTATGAAGAATTGCTGGATAAAAAATATTCTAACTTCTGTGGTACTAGTCGTTTCACAGCCATAGTAAACAGACACACGGCAGTATCCATAGGCTTCGAGGGTTACTATTACTTAACCTTTCCTCCAAATGCTAACTCATGAATCAGAGCAAGAATATGGAATGTGTTGGTCACATAGTAGGGAGATCTAAAGTTATTTGCAGATAATATGGGTAAGAAGAGAAATAAAATGTAAACTTCCTATAAATGTTGAATTACAGTACTTCCTGCAAAATATACTTTTCTCCTAGCAATAGATATGAGGGAAGGAATAGTTGCCTCTGAATGATACACCACATTTATAAAATTGTTGATGACAAATACTGATTCAGTTAGCTAGCTTATTTGTTTGTTTGTTTGTTTGTTTGTTTGACAAAACAAACGCAGCCCAAGGCTAATGTGGAAAACTCAACAAACAGTCTAAGCAGGCCCTAGACTCATTACCTCTCTGACTCTGTCTCAAGTGGGAAGAGTTTACAAGCCCATTATTACTACATTACTATATTATTATTAAACCACAGAAGCTGATGTCTGCCAAGGAGTTAAAACAGAAAGTTAGCTTCAATAAAATACTCTTAACAGCCTGCACTCAACATCATCAGTTGTTCTAATTAAAACACCCACAGCCTCCTCCCATAACCCCCAAACTGCCCCTTCCCCACAAGAAATCAAGACAGGTTCTCAAGCTAAACTTAGTTGTAATTTCTTTGTAGTTTTTTTTTCTTTTTTTATTCTGAATAGTCAGTTCATTCTTCATTCATTTTTGTTGTTGTTGTTGTTGTTGTTGACTTGGACGCTTATGAAAAAACAATGCCCTTTGTTGTACAGAATGTCCTCAAATTCTCAATTTGAGATTATCTGATTGCTCCTCAAGATAATATTAAGAATTTCCATTTTTGTGAGGAAATCATTGAATGTCAACTTTTCTATCTCTCCAAATTTTTTACATTCTAACTCCCAGGATATTATGCAACTTTATTTGGAAAGAGAATTTCTGCATATTTGATCGTTAAGATCATGTCATACTGAGCTAGAGTAAATCCCAGGCTAGTGACTCCTGCCCTCATAGGAAGAAGGAAATTTAGACACACAGACATTGAGAAGGCTAGTCTGATTCCATGACAGACTTCAAATTGGCTATTAAGGAGACTAGGCCTAAAAATTGGGTAAGTCCAGGCAAGTCAATTACTAATAGAAAAAAAAACAAGATTCCAGCCTTCATGCCCCCATAATCGTTCTGGAACTCCTAGAGATAGAGTAAGATAAAGCTCATCTGCCCTGGAATTCCTGCTTTAAGTTGAGCCCGAGAGCTCACTTGCTTGTCTCTCTATCTAGATAGTTGGAGACCCCAGCATGCTGGACTTCTGAAAAATAAAACACTCTTTGTGTTTATATACGCATGGAAGTTTGAATTCTGAGTTTTACACAGGACCTACTGAGAAGGCTACCAATCTAAAACCTTAGAAGTATAAATAGAAATAAAAGTTCTGAATGTTTAACACGTGTCTCACAGTTCCACTAAGGAAATATATAGGCATGTGTGGCACAATTTTATATAAATAAGTTAAAACTTAGAGCAAGTCATTATCTGTGCTCTGGGCAACAGCTTACCCTCAGTCTGGCATCCAACCCAGGAGTTGATCTCTTTCCTGATCTGTCCAGCAGCCTCAGCAAAATTAACAGACTGTGGTTCTGCCCCAAAGTATGTTTTCATGTCTTCCAAATATTTCTGAAAGATACAAGTAAAGTCCCAAACAGAGAAATTAAATTTGTATACATTATTTTAAACAAAAAACAATAAGGAGAACAACTGTAGGCTCGCACCCCACCCTATCATCTCTATTTCTTCATCCCTGGTATGGGTCAAAATGAAAATTTAGTTCCCTTCAAAATCAACTAGCCATACAGAACTACAGGTACAGAAGGAAAATGTGCCTACCCATGGTACTGGGGTTTTGGTACCTGCTTCTTGACTACTTTTCTTTTTTAATATATATATGATAATTGCATTATTTATTCCTTTCTTTTCCTCCTTTCAAGTCTTCCCATATACTTCTTGAGCTATTTCAAACTTTTTGTCTATACATATATATATATATTAAATATATAAACACATCCTGCTCAGTCTATATAAGGTTACTTGCATGTATGTTTTGTTTGGTTTTTGCTTTCCTCGGGTATGGAACTGAAGGCAGAATAAAAAGAGGAGACTATAAGTCACAAAAGTTACCCAGTAGCCAAAGGATATTCAGATCTGGGAGTGGCTTTCTGCGGGATGCAAGAGAGCACAGTGAGGACTCTGGGTCTGCAAGTTGATTGAGGTGGGCTCCAAACCCCCAGAAACTTAGAGCAGCCTGAAACAAATTACATTCTTCCAGGCAATTGACCTGGAAGTGAGGTCAAATGCCTCCTCACCGGTGGTTTTGAGGGAGTGAGCCTGACCTCTGCCTTTGGAGCTTTTATGTTGCACCCTATGGTTATCATCGGAGCTCCAGTAACTGAGGTTGCACTTGCTGCAGCATCTGCCCTGGAAATGTTGTTTCTTTGCCCCAGAAGGTGCAGTGTTAGTCCTTCAGTTTGCTTACTTCTTAGAGGACTCCCAAGAAGTATTAGAGGTCATCCTATCCCCCAAAAAGGCTCTGAGGTCCACATTGAAATTTATAATACAGCAAAACAAAAACAGCCCCATTTTATGAGGCACTACTCTCTGTTAATTCACACATGGACTCAGTAAACGATGGACAAATGCCTGTATCCCCTTTGTTTTTAGTGCTACTGAGCTCAACTTTCTTGGTTAAGAGTCAAGTGGGAGTCCAAATGCCACACAGTAATGAGAATGTCTTTAAGGCTACACCTGGATGGTTTTGTAGATTCAGGATTGACACAGCCCAAGGCTCTGAATTCCCAAGAACTTACTGATGTGGGCAGCCATAAGATGCTTGGAACTGCAGGATACCTACTTTTCATCCGTCCTACCTAACTCTTTAGCTCTTCAGCCCTTATATGCTTGCTTCCACTAACCCTTCGTGATTGTTTTCAAGGGGTGTGATTCACAAAGTTGAAATAGAAAAATGACTGACTGTTCTCTGAGGAGTTCTTGAGTCTTAGTAAGAAGGGGCATCATCGATGTTTCCATTGGTCGGATGTCAACCATTATCATTTCCATGTTGACAAAATCTCTAAAATTCTGATGGGAGTTACGTCCCTCTAGTCTCATTTCAAATTCAGCTTTGTTTCCAGGGATAATTTCCAGCCACAGACCTGGGATAGACACTATCTTTGGCTCCTTCAGACCTACCCTACAATTATATGACTATATGCTTTCTCACTCTGTGTTTTCTTGTGAAACATGTTAGCTTAAAGTACCCATGTCTGTGAGGTCATGACCAAGTCCTGTGTCAAACCAATTACAGTTTTCTTCAGAACTTGGTATTCACAGGCTACTGTAAAATGGTCGCTTACCCAAAATACTGGTCACGTTGAGATTTTCCTGGGGACCCTAGAGAAATGTGTATTTTCTTGTTGGTTCGTGATTGCCTCTTTTTCCCCATTAAACAACAAAGGCCATTTACACTCACATTATGAAATGGATATGTTTTCTCCCCGTATATCCTATTAGCTGTTTTAAGTATGTAAGAATTTCCAGGCTTGAGAATTTCTGCAGCAAGGGTCTGGAAAGCAGACTGTATTTCTTCAACCTTGCCTGAGTTAAATTCCTTCAAAAGAGAAAGGATTAGAAAAAATGTTGAACGAAACCCAAATAATATATGATCACCCTGGAGTAAAATGAAATCATTTGATGCCTAGCAAGCAAAAGGTGAAAACAATTTATTTAAAATAGATAAAAGTATTTTGTTCTATATGATTGATATAAGATTTTAATGAAGGAACCCTTCATTCATAGCTTACAAGGGCAGACAAGAAGGACTTTGAAAATAAAACAAAACCTTGAAAAGGATGAAAAGGGGGATAAAACAAGAAACACAACCCTTACAAAGCATAGGCACTCTGGATTCTGAAATATATTCTGCTATATTTAATGTTTCCAATAAAAGTTCTAAGAAGTGGATTACTTGAACTGACCACAAAATGCATCTGTTAAAAATAACCCCTTCACAACTTACAAATGGATACAAAATATGTAAATACCATTTTCCTTTTCTTTTCACTATCAGGACCAGATTTGAAGTCTTGGATGCTGCTAAATTGAAGTACCTGTAATTTCAATAAAAAAGCAAATGAATATACTTGACAGAGAAGTACACATATGAAATGGCATATTTGTAAATATGAATCAGTAATTCTTACAACCTCAGAACACATAAATAGTTAAACTGTGAGTCTCTGATTGAGCTCATATAATGCCAGCAGAGTGACTTAAAGGCTCTTTAAATGAAGCTTTTAGAAGTGCATGCTGACAGGAGCCTGATATACCTGTCTCCTCAGAGGTCTGCCAGAGCCTGACATATAAAGAGGTGGATTCTCATAGCTAACCACTGAACTGATCATGGAGTTCCCAATGGAGGAGTCAGAGAGAAGACTGAAGGAGCTGAAAGGGTTTGTGGCCCCATGGGTAGAGCAGCAATACCAACCAACTAGAGTTCCCAGGGTCTAAACCACCAGCCTGGGAGCACATAGAGAGGGACCCATGGCTCCAGCTGTATATGTAGGGGAGGATGGCCTTGTAGGGCATAGGTGGGAGAAGAAGTCCTTGGTCCTGTAAAGGCTGGATGCCCCAGTGTGGGGGAATTTCAGGGCAGGGAGGTGGTAGTTGGTTGATGGGTGGAGGCACATCCTCATAGAATCAGGAGGAGGGGGGTAGGATGGGAGTTTCTGGGTGGGTGGGGAAATAGGGAAAGGGGATAACATCTGAAATGTAAATAAAATACCCCCCAAAAAAGGGAAAAAAGTCTAAAAATAAATTCTAAGTTTCTTGTAGCATTGTGACAATGTTAAAAATATCCTGAGGTAAAATTCCCTGGTTTTCCATCTGTTGCTAAACGATATTTTGAAAAGAAAGATAAGTGTCAAAATAGAAAATCCATTAAGATTGACACATAAACACAGAGACAAAAATGTGCTCTACCTGTGGGACAATACTCATGTGTGAAGGAAGTAAATCCTGTGGTTTGTGGTGACAAGATTGGAACTAGGACCCCACATATGGAAACTTAAAAAGTTTAGTCCATAGAAAATTAGAAGTTGTATGGTTTGTGATATATAATATCTCATCTCTAATTCCTCTAATTATGTACTGATTCTAATTTCTATGATCTTTATCGTTTCATCTGTATCATTAGGGTACACAGTGGAACAACGTTTGAAACTTTCTCTTGGTCTTTTTTTTTTTTTTTTTTGTCTGCTTCCTTTTAAAACCCAGGCCACAGATACTGGTTTCTCTTCCTCAAGATGGATCACAGAAACTGAAAATGTAGCCTTCCTCTATTCTTCTGTCTTTAGTGATGCCATCAAGATACCCTGTGAACTCTTTTGTTTGATAGAAGTTCTTAGAAAAGAACTACTTGTTCCATAGCTACAGAAAGAGTATTGCAGAAAGGAATGAAGAAAATTTGGAATAGCCAGCCCTGCTGGGTTTTCTTGGTGTCACTATGTTAGCAGCAGACAGACTCTGGCCCAGTTATCTTGCATCTTTCAAAAGCACAATGAAGTCTCCCTAAAATGTCAGATAACATGGTTCAGAAAGTAGGTGAACATCCAGAAAGTCCCAATGGTTTGTGCCCTAGGAAAGATCACGGAAGCTGCCAGCCTCTGTCCTCCATTATTACCCTACCCATTTCTTCATCTGCATTCTTTGTAGTTATCTTTATGATCAGCCAGTAAATAAGCATCTCCTAGCATTTTGTGAGACACATTGGAAGATTAATTAAGATTAGTGAAAGTGTTGTGGGAACTTTGTTTTATAGGTTTGGTCAGAAGCACATGTAAAATAGCTACGACTGTGCCTGAAATAGAGAAGAAACAACCATGAGAACCCAGCATCCAGCTGTGTGATCTAACGATCTTCGTGTGTACAAAGTACCAGAGTTCAGTGAATTTGTTTATACCCTGTGTAGAAAACTTCTAGACATCTAGTGTAAGAAGTAATGCATGCTCTAATAACAGGTTGACATGTACACACATAACCTTCATGTTCATGCCAGCATTTCACTTGGAAGCTAGCAGGAAGGATGTGGTTCTTCTGTTTCCCCTCAAGTATGCCACGATGTAACATCCTCGACCCAGACTGCAATAGTAGTAAGTCTATCCTACCACAAGATGTATTGACTCATAATAACAGAGTAAGGGATACTTCTCCTAGGGCAATCAGGTGCATATCAAATTCATTAGATTCACTGCAACTGAAGTCAGTAATAGTTACAGCAGGGACAATCTTTACTCAGACATGTATTTCATGTGAATGGACTCAAAATGGAATACACCTAAGAATATACCTATGGATAAGCTTTATATACCAATTTACAATCATTAATTAGTTGGATTTATTCACATGCCTCATTATATATGAACATACATATGGCTATTTTGCTCTCTCTCTCTCTCTCTCTCTCTCTCTCTCTCTCTCTCTCTCTGTGTGTGTGTGTGTTTGTGTGTGTGTGTGTGTGCATGTGTGTGTAGTACAATGCACTTTGGGGAAGCTTATAGTAGACAAATAATTTTATAAAATATCATTTTCATGTTTTAATACAATCTCTGAACTCTTTAGATTCAAACAGACAACTGGGTAAATAAAGATGTGACCAAACAAAGCATGGAAACAGCATTCTGTTGTTGTTTTGTTCAAGATAAGGTGCTAACTTGTATTTCTGAGCTGGCATAGACTTCACTGTGTTCTGCACGCTGGTTTAGAACTCATGACTCTCCTCCTCCTGGGATATCTCAAAGGCTGAGATTGCAGGAGTGCGCCACTACATACACCTAGACTTCTTGAATTTTCTCTATCAGAAGGATGCTGAATAGTTCTACTACTTAGTTAAAATAATTTTTAAAAACAGGTTTGTCATCAAAATAAAACTGGTTGGTGCTAAGCTAAAATATCTGACCTCATCATTTAGCTTTTTTCTGGAGGAGACATGTCCTTTCTTGCTGTTGTTGGGACAGGATATCACCATGTAGTTCTAACTTACTATTAGATCTAGAACTTGCTATTTAGACCAGGTTTGCCTTGAACTTACAGAGATCTTCCCCAACAATTTCTAATGGACTTCTTTGGACTTTATGGTACAGTATTTTATATGTGTTTTGAGAGAGATTGTTGTAAAATGTAGGCTACTAGATTTTCGAGACACAACTGAAATTAAACAAACCAACTAAAAACAAAACAAAACAAAAATACCATTTAACTTTTACACACTGGGGAATGGTGGGTTTTTCCACTCACCTGGGACATCTGGGCTGCAGTAGTACCTTTGGTACCCAAATACACCATAGTCAAGGAAGTTGAGATTCCCCAGGGGGAGAAGAAGATGTTTCTACCCTCAGCAGACTCAGCTAGTCTTTTACTAAACTCCAGAGCAAACTGGTTGATGGATACTGCTAGCGAGGCCATTGGGCAAACCTATAAAGAAGATAAGAGAACATATAAATGTTAAATCTTTTCCATTTAATTTATTCTTGTAAGAGTATCTGGCCAGAGATTCAGCTATATGTACAACTATTCATAAGAACTCAGTTGATTTTAACAAAATTCTAATCTACCCACCACTATCGTTTTATATATTCTAAACTAAAAACAAAGAATGTAAGAGGCTTACCTCAAAGTTTCATGTTACGTGCCACAGAGAACAGCTAGATTCTGTTCAGTTGACAGATAAATGTCATGCCATAGTTTTTCCATTCTCTGGACATTTATTACCCTTTTGCCTCTGCATCGCCTTCCCAAGCTCCTTGGAAATATTTTCTTCATATACTGCCTTATATACCTAACAGCATACAGTTCAGCACTTTGCCCCAAATAGTTATTTATAGATACTTTTTAATTACCCACATATAGTCTATACTATTTGGGGCACATAATGTATTATTTACTTTAAGTTAATATTATGCACAATTAAGTTGAAAATTCTTGTAAGAAACTGGGTAATTTCCATTTCTTTTATTCAGTTTTCTTTAACAAGGGAACTTAAAATTTACTACTTTGCTGTATTATAGTCATCTTCCAAATTTCACCTTTAATTGCTGTGGAATTTTAATTTAAAATAACATTGTTTGTTGTTCTATGGTCAAATAATTTTCAAATTTATTAAATGACCGATACTGAATTCATGAATACCTAAGCCTGGGACCTTCTGTAGGTACTTGTGTTGTGAGGAGCTGAGTCCTGTCCCAACATCCCATTTCTTACTAAGAAACCCACAATAAAGGCTTCGGGAAAGTCAAAAGTTTTCTCTCTGTGGTCAAAACTGGAATCAAGACTAGATGTGCACAAATTCTGGTTACAACATTATTTTTACAGTGATTCTATTGAAATTCTTCCGGCCCATTAAGTTACACTTGATCACACAGCTTTTGAGACTCTAGGTCACACTCAAGGTGTGGTTTGTACCTAGGGTGAAATCTCCTGTAGAGCCCAGGTGAATGTTCTTTGAAGAAATAAAAGCCCTTCCTGTTGTATGGTTACTCTACACTTTCATAAAGCCTTGGAAATTTGCTAGTGCTCCTGCTCCACGGGATACCATCTTATAAGGAACTCTACTTCCTTCAAGAGCATATTCATTCAGCTCACACTTTGATTATACAATCTATATTTGTAAAACCTGGGAGGTATAGTCATAGGAAAAGTGTTCGGCTCTGTGGCCAACCTGCAAGGGCAGAGAGTAAGCAACATCTTGGGGCCTGGGGATTTCATATCTCAACATGTAGATTATGCTAAATACGGAATTTATTCATGTACACTAAGTTCATGAAATCTAATGTTTCTCTAACATAAGAAATATCATCTTACAAATAGTTAATATTCTCCTATCTTCAGTCTTATTATCATCAGCAGTAATGTATAAAGTATAGCCTAGAACATACAAACAAGAAACCTCTTTGACAATGCCCACTTTTAAAAACAACTGTAAGGAACTATTAAACTACCACCTAAACCAACAGTCAGAAAAAATTCCTGAAAGGTACAGAATTCTAAGATGAGAATTTATTGGACATAATTTAGATATAAATATTGAGTCATCAGAAGCTTACTATGTCATAGTCTCTTTCTGTCTATATCTGTGTTTATGTTTGTGTCTGTCTGTCTTTCTCTCCCCCATATGTGTATGTGCATGTGTTATACATACATGTGTGTGTATGTACACGTGGATATACATACATGTAGAATCATAGGACAATCTTCAGCTGTTTCTTATGAGATGTTCACTATTCTTTTTGAGACAAGGTGTTGTCACTGGGCTGAGATTATAGAGTAAGGAAGGCTGGATGACTCAAGTCTCAAGGATCTACCTGTCTTACCTCCCTAACATTGAAATCATAAATGGGAATTACCATGTCTATCATTTTACATGAGTTCTGAGGATCAACCTCACATCTTTATGCTTATCATGCAAGTGCTTTATTGATTTAACTATCTGCCCATCCCCTTCTGTATCATTTACAAAATGAATTGCTATTTTGAAAATTTCAGAAGTACAAACTGAATATATAGACTATATATTATACACAATATTAGCTGCACACACTGAAGAGGACATTAAGAAACTAAAAAATGATCATAAAATCTACCATTATAAATAAGCACACCTCTAGCATAACAGCTTGAACAGAAGCTTAGAACCACTGTAGTCTAACACTCCCATTTAATCTCCTGAAAACTCAGGACCAGAGAAGTTAGATGGGCTGACTAAGGATTCATAGCTAATGAACAGTAAGAAGTGCAACCCTGCTCTCTTTACTATGAATACAAATCTCATGGTCAGTGTAGTTAACGGTCTGTAGGATTTTGATGATAAGAGCAAGACTGAGTAATGTAAGACCAACAAAAGAAGTTTGAAAGACCAATGAGGAAGAAGTAGAGGATGTGGCAAGAGAAGACCCCTGTTCTTTGTCCCATGAAAAATACTTAAGATCTCTTGCTCATTCTCTCTGATGACAGTTCTGAATCTTATAAAGCTGTCTGGAGCAGAATATGACAATGTCATGGTCTCCCAGCATCTCTTTACTTGTCAGAACCCTTTTCTGAGAGAGTTGTTATGCTGGAGTGGTTCTGAAGAGTAAGGTATGCTCAGAGACTCATATGTCCCACAGCAAAGAAAAGAGGCACATGGCATGCTGACAGGCAGGAGAACAGGTTATAGAGAGAGCATGGCCAAAACATTAGTTCCACGTATCAAAGTCGCACTGTCAAGCCACCCTATATGAAGGAATAGAAGGGATGGGATTAAATTATTTTTATTTCCAATTATTTTTATTTCCAATTATTTTTATTCTCAATTATTTTTATTTCCCTTTGTTAAATTGGCAGATACAAGTCAGTAGCTGGCAGATGCAGACATGACTGGATGACAGAAATCCACTCACCTTTCTCACAACTCCAAGTAGAACAGTCAAAGCTTCCTTAAAATTAATGATATCTTCCTCTTAGTCTATCAAACTTTAAACCAGTTCAATGTTAAATAGCTGACCCGTTCAGAAAAATGCTAAAAGAATGGAACCTCACCTATTATCCCGAGTTTCGAGTAGAACTCTTGGTAGTTTGATAGGCACTACAATAACAAAAAAAGTAAACTTTTTTTAATCAAAGAAATATTTACAATACCTTATTTCCCTCTCCTGGAGCAAACTTGACAAATTGTGCTTTAGTAAAAGACTGTGGGTCAAAAGTTAGGTAACTTTTAACTGAAGAAACTTAAAAAAAAAATCATAGCCCCTCCTTCTTCTGAGCCCCACCTTCGATTCATTTTCACAAGCCAGAACACTCTTCCTTTTTCAGGCTTATCTTGGCCAAAACTTCAAATAACTCAGAGAGGTAGACAGCTGAGCTCTTGCCTGAATTATTAATTACCAACATTTTCCATGCAGGACTGCATGCAGAGACGTGAATTCTGACAAATTGTAACTCATACATTCCAAGCTAAAACCCTCTGGTAGGTTGCCAACTAACAGCAATTAATGTAGACTCCACTGGTATGTTTCTAAGAAAAAAATAAATAAAAGGACAGTTCCAAGTGAAATAATAATGGGCCATAAAATGAAAAACATTATCAGTGCATAATTTGTTTCTGATCTGCTAAGGTATTCTTTAAAATGTTCTGTGAGAAACACACAGGCCTAGCACTGCTCTTTTGTGCAACACTAGAACAGAACCCAGGGTGTGACTTGGATCAGGTTCAATTCCTTTAACAACAGGAATAAGACTTCCGTTACTGTTTTGGATGCCTTCGTTATGTGAGACATTGCTCGCCATTTTCTGCTTTCCTTGCTTTTCTCCATTAGCCTTCATGTGGCCACTCTTCTCTGTCACACAGGAAAAAGCAAGATTGCACCAGCGTCGCTTTCCAGCACGTGGAGGAATGGTAATGAGAGGGAAGAGAGTTATGAGAATACCAAAAACAGCCCAGAGAACCAAGGGCCCTTTCCACCAACTGACGGCTCCACTTTTCACATGCGTATATAGCACTTCTGCTGAACTGAAGACCTCTATGGAGGCCACAGTGGAGACTCACTCTGATAGCACAAGTGAATGAAACTTGTGGTAGGAAATTTGATGTGCCTACTGAGCCTGTGAAGAGCAGATATGATTATCCATTTCCAGCTGTATTTTTAGCTGAATGCATCCAGATAGACAGACCACTGCCTTTGACAGGAGCTCAGCAGGCTAACTAGGGCCACATCCCTGCTCAGCCAGAAGGCTTGTTCTAAAAGTTTGTGCTGCTTATGCTGATATCTAGATACTAGTTATCTAGTGATATCTAGATATATAAACACACTTGTATCTAGATTCTGCTGAATGAACCAATTTGTTTATCTATGCAAAAGTCACAAGACAAAGGTGTTCTTACCCTTCTTCCTAAACCTCTATATTTCTTTCCTACTTAAAATTCCTATTTAAAATTGTACTGTCTATATCAGTTGAACCATGCTTTATGTTATTTTGTTTCCTATTAGGGCAAAAAAAGAGCAAGTACTGGAACCTGGTGGTACAGACCCCTAATGCTAACTATTCAGATGGTCAAAGCAGAAAGACTGCAGGTTCAAGGCCACCCTGGGCAACTTAATCAGTCCCTGTTTCAAAATAGATAGACTGGGTTGAAGCTCAGTGGTAGAATGCTTTCCTAGCATATGTGAGGTAACAGGCTCAATAGCTAATACCACAAAAAATGAAAGACAAAGGAAAGAAAGAGAGAGAGAGAGAGAGAGAGAGAGAGAGAGAGAGAGAGAGAGAGATGTTTATTGTGCATATACATATGTTACCATACACACATGTCACTAATAAGGTAGAAGAATCTGAATAAAAAGTACAAGAAGTAGGAATGTAAGTAGAACCACTCCTCTTAGTCACACAACAGTCATGTTAAGATGGTACAAATTATTAGATATTTTAAACCTTTTAGGAATAGAAAATCTCTAAGTACCAATAAATTAATTAATTAATTAATTAACCTTCTCATTTTATTTTTTCTTGGTCCAGAAATAAGAGCTCTGATCTTTTATCTCCCTACAGGGGAACCTACTCTGATCACTAGGTCTCTACTGTGTTTACCTACATTGCATTGTCTTCCAAAAAGTCTATTTCTTTCAAAGGATGCTTCAAAGGACTCTGACATAAACTGTTCTAAATTGATATGTGTCTTTTTTGCTATGAGAAAGGGGCTCTGATCAAATTTTCTACAACCAGTGTGTGGGACCATGGGCTATGAGAGGCAGTTGGGTACCTGGTCAAGAGGCCTTGAACCCTGGATACCCTCAGGGATGGTAGGAGTTTGGCCTTGCTCCTGGGCTCCCTGGTTCCTTTCATGTAGCCACAGCTCTCTTCAGCCCCTCCCAAAGAGAGATTTGTAGCCATTGGTCACATAGCACAGGTAGAGGGCATGACTACAGGCTGCAGAGCCTAAAGATATCTCCATATTCATGAGATATCTAAAGGCCAGAGGGTATAGCTAATTAAGCATCCCTTCCTAGACCCTCCTCCTTGCAAAAGGTATTTAACCTAAGGCCTGCCCTGAGAATATGAGGGTATAGCTTCATACTTTTTCTGCCATGACAATGAATATCTTAAGACCATTTCTTAGACCTGGACTATTTCTATTCTTTGGGGCCCTCCATGGGGAACCATTGACAAGGTCTACAACTACCGAGCCACCTTCTAATCTCCCACTGATGACTTCTCTATGTTCCAGCCACGGAGACCCAGCCAAGATCCAGCCAAGCCAGTTGCCGTGACCAAGAGTCTCATTCTCCTTTCGGGATGCTGCTGGAGCTTGTCCCCTTGCCCGTCTGCTGTGAATTGATCGAGCTCATATGCCACATCTCAGGCCTTCTGTGTCTTCTCAGCAGTTCCTGAGAGACCAAGGGCTTGAGACCAGTCAGTTTCTGGCCACCTTCTGGACCAGAAAACCCCAACCCAAGAGCTCCGGCCCCTGTCGGCCCCCAGATTGTGTTCTCCCCACCCCTGGAGTGGAGCCCTGTGGCTTCTGACAGCTGGACAGTCCATCACAGTGTGGAGTGAACTCAGTCAAATTGCCGCACCTCTGCCTTTCTGAGCTGTGGCTCTGGCCACCTGGAGGGGACAGACATGGGACACACAATTCAACCCAACAGGATCCACACCCACGTTCACTCTCACACCACAGCCAAACAACAGTGTAAGGTGGTTTGAATAGGCTCATATATTTGCATGCTTAGTCCCTAGTTGGTGAAGGATTAGAAGGATTAGAAGGATTATGGGACTGGGGATGGGTTTAGAAGCTTAGTGTATCTCTTCCTCTCTACCTGTCCTGTGGATCAAGATGTAAAGCTCTCAGCTTCTACTCCAGCAGCATGCCTGCCACCACACTCTCTCTATGATGATAATGGACTATGTCTTTAAAACTAAAAGCAAGCCCAGTTAAACACTTTCCTTTATAGGAGTTCCCATGATCATGGTGTATCTTAATAAAAATAGAACAGTGAATAAGACACCACCTGTCTTACTTGGGGTTTCTCTTGCTATGATAGAAACCTATAAACCAAAGCAACATGGGGAAGGACAGGTTGGTTTCAGCTTATAATTCCATATCACAGTCTAGAGAAGGTACTAAAACCTGAAGTCAGGATGAAGCAGAAGCCATAGAGGAGGGCTGCTTGCTGCCTTGCTTTTTCTGCTTTTTTAAAGAAGCCAGGACCACCTGTTCAGGAGTGGCATCATCCACAGTGGTTTAGACCCTTCTACATCAATCATCAATCAAGGAGACTGTTAGATGAAATGGCTGACTTCTGGACAAACCACGTCAAGCCAGCATAGGTCTCACAATACACAGAAAAGCCAGCCTATCAACCGTGGACTGGAGTTTATAAAACAACAAGCCAAAATAAAACTTTGAACTTTATTATCTCATGTATTTTGTTACAGTGATGGAAAGATAACTAACAAACAAGGATCGCTAGGTCTTGTGCTCTGCATACCTAATGGAGAACAACAAAAAGCAGTGCGTAAGTAAGCATGCTTACTTATGATGTCATCCTAATTGGAGATGAGTTGCAGATACGTACATGATAATACAATGATAGAGATATAGCATGTTGTTGTCTTTTGTTAAGTACTTTTTTCTGGGTGATTATCATGGGAAAGCATGGAAGACTCATAATTTTCCTTCATTATTAGATTAAATGGCTACTTTAAATAGAAAATTATCTGATTATCTGCTTCTGTAGTGTTACAGTTTCATTAAACAGATAGAGGACAACAATTTGTAAAAAAACAACCATTATATAAATAATAAATAACACTGTAAAAACTGAAGTTATAAAGACAAAGCAGTAATAAGGATGAACTAAACAGACATCGTCTGATTTTAGAAAAAAATATCATTAATGGAGTTATACTGTAAGTATTGCAGACTGTTGTACAGTTGCGTTTAAGTTTCTATTTAGCATATAGCAGAAGTATAAAAATGTGTAGTAAAGTATTTAAACTTTTGGCACTTGAAGAAGCAATTTTGAGGCTTACAGCTCATGCTACGAAACCTAATGTGGAAATAAGGTCTTCCCCTTTTAGGGAGAGGAGAACCTACCAACAAATAGTATCGTCTGGGTAATTGTGTTCATGATAAGGAAAAGGAAGGGATGATCAGCCACAAACTGCGGGCCACCATGACCAGTTCTCCCTGTCATAACTGCCCCAGTCCCACCAGATGCCACAGTGCCCTCCTCGGTCACATCCACGCTGGCTTGATGGAACACCTCAGAAAGAAAAAGGTCATTCCTCTCGGACATCCCTGAGAAGTCGGCCTTGCCTTTGTTGAAGGCATCCTCCATGCCCATGCTTTGAAGAATGGACTTGAGTTCATAGCTTTGTGCCAGTTTAAACTTGGGAATGTAGACCACAACGTCATCTTCAGCCATTGTGTCTTTGCTGATCCACTTGTTG